GTGTGATCGAGACTAAATTGTGATGGATTTGCTCATGCTCCCTTGTACTTCACTTTGTTCACCTTCTTCCACGTTTATCTACTACCCTCATACACGTTCAGTGTCCTCTCTGTGTATTTCTCTTCTGTATATTTTTCTACTGTGTTTTCCCATCTTCTAGTGCCGTAGAAGAGAAGGAAGACAGGTGGGCTTTTAAGTAGTCATCCAGTTATATGTGCAGTTTAGGGAAACGTTCACAGTCAGGGAGTACAGCTGTAAAGGGGTAACCAGTTAAGCGGTACCCAGCTCAGCCTGAGTATGCCACAGGCAGGATTCTGTTACAGCCCAGCCAGGCCCACCATGCCACAGGCAAGGGGCACTCCAGCGGTTCCCACCCACAACACAGTGGGACGGTTAACCATGTAGTTTAACCAGTTAACATTTTAAATGAGATTTTACATCTATCAGAAAATGAGGTGGATCCAATAAATTTCCCTGTCCTGATTCTCTCCATGGCTAACCTTCCTCTAAAATAGTTTGGTGCTCCACAAGATAGGAAACACTGCTTCTAGAACCAACTAATCATCAGGTTGTACGTTTTATTAGGTCCCAGGACATTACAATAGAAGGAGGTTTTCTAAGCACTGGGAATTGGGATGGTGATGTTTAGTTAGGTTAGAATCTTGTCTAAAGTCCCAACAGCCAAGCTCCATTCATTCATTTATCCTCCAATCATACCTTCCTTATTGTTGTCCAGTCTTCAAGTATATCGAGGTCTTGTAACATATAAACTATATAGGGGCGTTGAAAAGTTAAGGAAACCAACCTTTAACAGTGAAATATGCATAAAAAGTCTGCAATCTTCATAATTTGAAGTGACTTAATTCTATTCTGCAATTGATCCACACACAGAATTCCAAATGACGTGAAAGAACACTGCAAAAATCAGGTCTTGAGAGCCACACAGTATGCAAGTGTCACTTAAGTTTCCCAGAAGCTATCATATTCACAATTACATTAAGACTGTTATTGCAGTACACCACAGGGTTACAAGATTATAAGAGACATTATAAACCCATTCTATACTTGACACCAAAATGTTTCTTGTACTCCAAACAGAATAAAATCAATCCTGGAAGCTTATTTTTCTACAATATTGAAAGCAAGCACCTAAATTAACATCTCCAGTGCAATCTCTTAGTGATGCTAAATCATATACTATTACATGGAAAAAATGCAGAGTTTTAAAAGTTTAAAAGCTCTATCTTAAAATATCAGTTCTGTACCATCAAAATATCAAAACTGTTACCATATTTACTAGAATATACACAATTCAAAAACAGAAATTTATACATACTAGTTTACAATATAGTGTTCAGATCTATCTTGGTTTATTCCATTCTTAGCAAGCTCCATAACAAAAGTTAAGAAATTATGAACATTTATAAGTTAAATAGCCCTGACTTTAAATAGCACATTAAGCTTTGAAGCGGTTTGAGAAACTAGAAGTTTAAGTTGTTTATCATTAAACTTTCATTATTAGTACTGTATTTTGTAGTTATTGAGATTTACAAATCAAGGCAAATGTAAAGACTATTTATTTTAACATACTGAAAGATTATAGGAAATTCCAATATGCACTATATATTGCATTAGAAAAATAACACCATACTATAAAAAATAAATAACTACAAGACAGCAAATTAACATGGATCTTTCAATCTTGACTCAGTTTCAATTTGAATAATTTTCTGAAATGACTGCTTAATGTCTCAGACTTATTAACACTTGTTTTTCACATGGAATTATCACTCTCTCAAAATAAGTAACAACTGTCTATGTATCTTGTAATTCTAAACTATTCCGCTAGATACCTCCAGCACAGCCAACCAGAGCATGAATACTTGGAAGTTTATACCTCCTAATTCCTTTTAGCTATTTTTGTACTAGAAAACCAGATGACAAAGTTACACCTGACTAATGAATAACCTCTAGGGATGTTAGATAATGATTCATTGAATAATATTTGATGTGGTTACATGATTATCAGTTACACAACTATTTGATAGTTCCCAAGGGTGGGGCCAGCAGCCAGTGCACTCCCAACCCCATTCCTGGAGTGGCCCCTGCCCCCCCACACTGCTGCCTCTGTATCAGAGGCAACAGCGTGGGGTGGCAGGTGGGAGCCAGTCCATGAGGGGAGCTCATTTGAAAACCAGCTCCCTGTGCAGACCAGTTCCTGCCTGCTGCCCTGATACAGAGGCAGCACTGCAGGGCAGCAGCAGTCCTTGTCCGCAGGGGGCCCCAAGTTCCCCCCAGACAGCATCCCACAGAGCAGCCTACACTGCCCCCCTCCTCCCCAGCTGCTGAATCTGATAGAGGCAGCAACAGGGCAGGGGGAAGGTGGCTCCACCCCCCCACCACCAGATCCTGCTTGCCTTTCCATTCTGTCTCTATGAAAGGCAGCAAGTGGAGGGGGGGGGGGGGGGGGGGGAGGCAGCTCTGCAGAGCCAGCACGCAAGGAGAGATGGCTTAAAAGCTGGCTTCCTGCATGTATCAGCTCCTCCTCCCCTGCCCTTGCTTCCTCGGATACAGGCTTCGGTTAATCGGGTATTCAACTACACTATGTATGGTGACCATATTTTCTGAATCAAAATTAGGCACACATTAGCCACACCCCTGACCCCACTAGCCACGCCTCTGGAGGTAACACTCTCAGGATCAAGATGGACACATGACCAGAAGTAAAAGGTGTTGTGTGACCCTCTAAGAACTTTTCCCACCATCCTCCTACTAAAAGGGATGAGTTTGGCCCCCACCGAATCCCTTTCATGCAACTATCCTGCAATTACATTAACCCAATTTATATCACATTAACTCAGGAGGGTGGGGATGGAGAGAGGCTGAGGGAAGTGTTCCCTTTAAGATTTTCCTCCCATGAGTGGAATGAATTTTGTGTTGTGTGCCAATATTGAGTTCATGTGGCTTGTTTGGATGTGCCACTGTGGCTCCCAAGTTATTAATAAATATCTTATAAACCTCTACCTTTTCCCTCTGTTGCCCTGTCTCCTCCCCTTACTCCATCAGCTCCCCTGTTACCTGCTGCCCCCCCAAACCCCTCACTTTTTTCTGCTGTCCTGACTCCTGCCCTTCTAACTGCCCACTGCCCTCTGCCCTCCAGGGACCTGCACCCAGTCAGACCCGGCTTGCGGAGCACAGCTATGCAAGCGGGTCTATGCACTGCCACTCCCCCAGTGGAGTGGGAAGGGGCGAGGGGAAGAAACGGCTGTGCACAGAGCACACCAGCAGAGCCCAAACATTCCCTGCTCTGCAGCACTCCAGCTGGGCTGTGCACGCTCTCTGCCAGGCTTCTGGCAGCATCTCCCAGGAGTGGTTTGCCAGGTTTATCCCCCAACCAGTGCCCCTTCACCCCCTAGCAGCAGAGGTGGCTGTCTGTGAATGGAGGAGGTTGGGCTGGCGGCCACACATGGCAGAGGCAGTCCTGCAACAGGAGGGAAGGGGCCATGCGGTGGTGAGGGCTTGCTGGACAGCAGCACATGCTGCACTGGAGATTGGAGCTCTGGAAACTGCACACTACCAGCAGAGGCCCTAGCTGCCTGCGCAAAGCACCAAAGTAGCCGCTTACATGCTGGGTGGAGGCAGGGAGTTGCTGCTGCGCTGCACTAGCACTGGGTGTATGCAAGAGTGTCCCAAGGAGGGAGAGAAATGGCGGTTCCATTTGTAGTCGGATCTGAACGGGTTTTCCGGGACCTTTGCCACCTTTATCGGGACACCAGGACAGAACCTTTAAATCCAGGACTGTTCCAGGAAAGAGAGAGACATATGGTCACCATAACACTAGGACATCCCTAACAACCACCACTTAAATTTCAGGCACTAGCTAAAAGTACCTCCACTATGCTGAATTTATGATAATGCCATGCCATCCTGAGTAACATTCATTACTATTCATTAGAACAGGTCATCTTTCTGAGAAAGATTCTAATAAAGCAACACTTTGACATGGTGTATCCCAATTAGAGACTCCCAGAATAAAACAGCGATAGAATTTTAAAAAAGAAACCCACAATCTTTAATTTCACTTTGAACAGGGGGGCCTAAACACCTCAAATGTTTGGAGTCCAGTGTGATGTCAAATGACCCCATGCTAAAAAATGTTTAGGCTTGATCCCCTTTGGCCTAACTCCTAGAGTTCAGCCCACCCCTACATTTTCTCGTTCTACCTTGCATCTGAAGGATAGCTGAAAGTCAGCAAAGACTTCAGGCCTCCTCTTCTTCCTCCAAGATAGAACCTCCCTATCAACCATCTCCAGAGTTGTGTGTTCATTTCTGGAAGCTAGCCTCTTTGAGCCTCTTACCTGCACTGGACAGCAACTGCAGACTGTGACAAAACCATGAATTCACAACTTTTAGGTCGCTGTCAAGATCTAAAAGTTGTGAATTCATGATTGTGTAACAGTTTGCAACTTATTTACCTAAAGCCTGCAAAACATTAGCAACCAAATACATCCGGAATTTAAAATATGCAATTAAAAAGTGACAAACAGGTTCTTAAGCCTTAAATTAGACCACAGTCAGTAAACAAAGTAAAGAAAATTCAAGATATGGAGTTAAATTGCACAAGCTATGGAACATAATACAAGAAAAGGTCAACAAGGCTTTGTCTACAATGGCATGTTTTGTCACCAAAAACCACCTTTTGTTGACAAAAATAGTGAGAGGGTACACACTAAAACACAACTTTTGTGCGGGGTGGGAGGAGACACGAAATTTTGGCAGCAAAAAACTTTTACCTCTGTGACAGACTTTTGTCTTTTCCTGTCCCTTTATTGTCAACAAAGAGCCTGCATGGACTCTGTTTTGTCCAGATAATTGGCTTCTGCCAGTAAGCCATCAGGGCAGGCATTGTGGGTGTGCTCAGTGTTTTATAATTTCTGCTAAGTGTTTTGTGATCAATGCTGTCTTGCAGGCATGCGTCCCTCCCTTTTCAAAGCTCAGGAAGTATCTGACAGTTGAGTGAGCTGCTCCATTTGGGAAACAAACAAAAAGAACAAATTAGTGGAATGCTCCCATTCTGCCCTGATACAAACATAACAGCAAGCAGACTGCTGTTGCAGGGGGAAGGTTGGACAGACTGCTGTGCTGCTTTGCATTCCTCGGCACAGAGAACTCACAGAGATACTCATGATGTTTCTTCCAACAGCTGAGAGTACTGTGGGAGAACTCAGAGAATCCCAAGAAGCACAGGGACCAGCTCTGCCTTTCCACAACACTGCACTGTGGGATGTTTTCCCACATTGCTAGCTCCCCTGTCTATAGATAGTGCAAAGCAATGTGGCTATGAAATGTCAACTGTATGACCAGTTTTCACTTGTGCATGTCAACAAACCTTCCCAGTGTAGACATAGCCAAAGTTTTTTTTCTACATAGCGTAACTCTTCTTAATAGAGTTACCTAGACAGGGGTATCTTTTGTTCAAGTTTTACAGTTTTTACTCCACAGCTGAACATTACACTATCAGCTGAACTCAGCTCAATAGTGTCATATTATGCCTCCTCTCTCTGCCTACTGCCAAATTCTGTCATTTTATTTCAATGGAACTAGAAGGTGTGTTTGGCTCTGTACAAAACAAATGCAAATCTTTGCCTCTGAGGAGCCTGTAATCTTAAAAAAAAAAAAACCCACCCACTACTTTCTACCTCTAAAGCAAAGTATAATTTACTACCACCTCTTCTTTTAGTTTTCCTGCTTCCCACATCACTTTACCTTTCATCCTCTTAAAAATTCTGCTATTGATTATGTCAGTCTTTAAATTGTGTCTCTACTATTCACAAAACTGTTTCTAATCTTCATTTTCAAAACACCATCTACAACTCCACCTACATTTATTTTATCTTCCTTTTACCTACATCTCCAAAGTCATCCTCCAGAATCATTCATTGCAGCCTCCATTTCCTGAGCCTTGTATCATGCCCTCCTTAATCTTTTAACTTCTTACTTATCATTATGTCCTAGGAAGCTGTAATTTTCATTCATATTTATCCATTTTTTTAGACTTCTGAAACTTGGACTTCAGTGTCTCAACATTATCAGAAAAATACATTGTCACATCATCTTGCATACCAAGTGCATGGAATTGTATACCTTTTAAAGACTGCCAACTTCTTGGAGTCATAATCATGTGTTTCTCCATGCACCAAGTATAATTATACTATTACTAGACATATCAAATAATGCTTTAGTAATGTACCAGAACAATATTATACCGAGTTTTAAATACTCTAGAATATGTGATTAAATCCCTTATTTTAAAAGATTAGTCAATGACTAGTAGAATTAAGTTTCCAAATGTCATCTAAATTTAGAATATTCTCTGTGCTTTCTCACTAATGTTATGCTTGTTTTTCCCTAAGCCTTCCCTTGTGTCCTCTCCATTCGCTCCAATTTGTTTGCTAAGCATGATTAGAACAGGCTTTTCCTCTTTTTTCAGTGTATGTTACTCTCACTGTTATGATTGCTACTCTGTAACAACTTCCTTCCTCTGTTTTTTCTACTTGGAGCCAATGCAATAGACAAATGTATTGAAACAAAGTCACAGAAGAAACCTGGCTGACATGTTCAAGAATTCAATTGCTTCTATTTTTGGAAATGGAAAACCAGATGGAATTTAAAACAGTCACTTCTGCAAATAGTATTTTGAAAACAGTGATCTTAATCTGGATTTTAAAGTCACAAAAGATGACTTACCAACTAGACTTACCAACCACAATTAAAACCAAATCTGTCTGCCAACAGCAGTAAGAATGTATATTTTTAAGCATTCTTTTGGAGATGAGCTATCTTTGTTTTTCCAAAGAGAGGCTATTAAAAGCTACTATCAGATAAGAGAATGTTATGGAAAAACTAATACACCAATTATGTACTCAACAAAACAAACGAAGGGCAAATCTCCTAGATTTGAGAGAGTTTGTCTGTCTATCCATTTGTTCAAGAACTCCTCCTAAACAGTAAGAGCTAGGACCACCAGACTTGGTATGTAGCTTCCTCTTATTACGGCTTACAGAAAGGTAAGGATTTGGCTGTGCCAGGACAATGGAATGTGCCTGGAATGTGATAGTTTTTCATAACACAGAAAGGGAAGTGCTGCTAGCAGGGACAGTTATACTATGTAGTAACCATAGGGTAGCAGCAAGGGGCCAGAAATGGAGATAGTCTGGAGATATGGGCAGCAGGATAGCCTTGGGGAGCTGCCGCGTAGCGGTGCACCCCAACTAGCTTCTGCACCCCCCCCATCCACCTCCAGCCCTGAGCCCTGCACCGCACTCCTGCCCCAAGCCTCCCACAACCTCAATTCCTTGCCCTGATTCCTGCACTCCTCACATGCTCCTGCCCTGAAGGATCCAAGCAAGGTCAGGTAAGTCTTCTAGTACTTGCATATGCATAGTCAGACAAGATATAGTCATCTGCAAAAAGCAAAACAAAACAAAACCAATTTTTGAAATATTAACATTTTATAGTTATGCTTGGTCTGCCTATTCAGAGACTTCACTGTATTTACTAAAAATCACTAGAAGTCATGGATTTTGTAATCACGCTCATTCTGATATCGTAGGTTGAACACAGATATGCTGAACATATAACTGTATAAAGTCTCCCTAAAGAAAAGTTGTAAATTGTGTTACTGATATTCACATGGCAAGAATGTGCAAGTCAGTTAAAACTTCCTAACTATATTAAAATATATGATTGCTTGAGCAGACAATGTAAGGGGGAACATGTGATAAGTAGGCTATACAAAATATTGCACAGACAAGAACACCAGAAAAAGGATATCTGATATGACAACGGGTTTCTTTTTATCTGGACTAAATGGATCCTTTCTTTTTTTCCTGGACTGTAGTTCATCATTCCATAACTCTGGAAAAAAAAACCCATCAGAATGCTATAGTTAGATGGACACATATATTACTCATGAATTTGATGTTTAACTCTTTTACAGTAAAAAAACATAGTCTAAAAAGCATGGATCTGAAAATGTGACCTATAACAGTTTGTGAGAAGAATGGCAATTGCCATATTTTAATGTACTATATTGTGTAGACCTTTATTTTACCTATCCACCAAAATTAATAGATTCTCCTCATAGCACAGTGATTCCCAAACTTAGGGTCGCAGGACATGCAGCACTGGGATGACAGCAGAGGTGAAAGTCTCTGGCAAGAGTTGGTTTGGGCACGCCATTCTACAGGAGACAGGCAGGCAATTTAAAGGGGACAGCTGGGGGCATGCTGTAGGGGAAGTATGCACACTCCCAGCTAGGCTACTGGGAGAAGCTGGCAACAGCTCCCATCTGGCCATGTGCCCAGCCCTATTCCTGACAAGGGGTGATGCGTGGAAACAGTCCCTGTCCAGCCAGGCTGCGGCTGCTGCAGCACAGCCCCGGCTCCGTACTGCCACGTGAAGGACTGGCAGTGGCATCTTCACTCCTGCCAAAGTGGCTTAGCCCCAGCCTTGTTTCTTTTGAGGGGAAGGGGACAGAGGGCAGAACTGGGTCTTTGCTTGGCTGGGGTTAAAGCAGCCCTGCCTCAATCCTGGGGCAGGACCTGTGGCCTGGCCCCCATCTGGCCACAGCCCCAGCCTCACTCCTGCTGCGGAGTGGAGAACGGAATGAGCCCCTCGCTGGCTGGGACATGGCTCCTGCTGTGGTGGTTCAGCTCCAGCCTCGCACTTGTGGGGGAAAGAAGGGGCCAAAATTGGCTCCTGTGCAGCCACGGGAGCCTGGATTCAATCCTGGAGCAGGCCCCATAGTCTGGTCCCCATCCGGTCACAGCCTCATTCCTGGCACGATGGTCCAGCCCCAGCCCCAATCCTGTCAGGGGGCAGGGCACAGAAATGGCTCTTGTCCAGCCACAATTGTGGTGGCCTGCCTCCAACGCCAACCCCAACCCTGGGATAGGCTCCATGGCCTGTCCCCATCTGCTGCAGGAAGGACTGGCAGCAGTCCCATCTGGCCCTGGCAGCCTGGTCCCAGTCTCAGTCCTGCATGGTGGTGGTAGGAAGGGAGATGGAATTGGCTGCAGTGGCCCAGTCTGGAACAGGTAGGTTAATCCAGCCCGCGTACCACACTCTCTCCCCCATACATCCCAACCCCCTGCCCTGAATCCCTCACACCCAATCCAGACTCCTGCACCCTCCACCCCTCTGCCTTGAACCCCTTGCACTCCACCTTACATTTATATTTCTTACAGGTACTGCTGTATTGCAAACAAAAATTTAGTTCCTTTCACCCATGGTCAGCAGGCAAAGCACTGCGGAGGGGTGAGGGGAATTCCCCAGCAGCCACGCAGGGAGCTCTGCAGGGCAGGGGAGTCACGGGAGAGTTCGTGTGGAGAAGGGAGAGAGAGACTTTAAAAAGATATTATTGGGTCACAGGCATAAATGATTTTTCCCAACTGGGTCTCTCACAAAAAAAAAAACACACACACACACACACACACTCCCCCAACTACTGCTATAGCAGACAAGGTATAGTGACATCTTCTCTGACACCAGATTGTATTTACTTTAAGTTCACTAAGGCTAGAATAAAGTTGAAAATACAATTAACAGCATTTCAGTGTGATGCAAGGCTCTATGGATGCAATACATGTATATAATTGACCCACAGCTAGCTACAAAATGAGAGATATGGCAATTTTCTGCAATACCCTTAAAAAGCTATATTGAATCAAATTTAAGTATTTTTTGGTCCACTGTATTAAAAGGCAAAGATTCTGGATTATTATAGACTCCAGGATTGCATGCAACTTCTCCTGGGGCAGGGGAGATGAGATGGGATGTGACCCATGGCATGTTATGAACTTTAAAAGGACTATGGCAAGCAGTATGCCAGACAAGAATGAACTTTCAGGACAAACCATATCAAGTGTTTTCTCTAGAGATCAGTACAATTTCTCCTCTGCAGTTATGCAAAAATCCAGAATATTGAAATTACACCCTGAAAAGGGAACCATTGTCTACTAATTACTTCTTCCCATAACCTGAAGATCGAAAGTCCAATCTATATAAAGGGAAATTCATGGATGTGCTTGTTCTGAACTAAGTTTATAAAATTGTAACCACGGAAAAACATCTTTGTGAGGTATGAAGGATTGACTCCTACCATAGTCCTAGCTAGAGATGGGGGAAGATGTCTGGTAAGCTTGTTGGCATTTGTTTGAATTCTTTTCTGTAATACAGTCAGGAGGGAGAGAGATATTGGTCTCTGCCCAAGAGACATGATAGCTGAAGAACCTAGAGTAGGTGCTCTTAATGGCTCATGGAGGGACATTACTAGTGCACTTGCCTGAACTATGACACCAGGTAATTAAAAATCTTTCTTTCAAATCCTATTTACCTGAGGTAATATCAATGCTATGTCTGTCTTCTTCTAATCTTCTGATCTTCTCTTCTAGTTCACTTTGTACAGTATCATACAACAAGAGCTTCTCACTCTGAAACAAAGGCAAATAATTATAAACGATGCATGAATGCATACATTTTATTAACTAAATGCACTTAACTCATTTAAAACTCAGGTGCCGCATAATAAAAGTAGCTTTTGAAACATTTTGCAACCCTGATGAAGCATAAGCCACATTTTGCACCTGATTCTGAGTCCCTCATTCATCTGCTTTTTCAATGTAAGGTTCTGAGTTTACACTTAATTCCAGATAATTCATGTGGATATAAGATATACAGATATAAAAGAAGCATGTATGCGCTGAAGATCTGAGTTGGACCATGACAGGAAGGAGATGTAAAGCAAGCTTCTAGATCTCCAAAAGAATGTTCTCTAATTGGACATTATCTCCCCTCATGACAGTCTGATGAAAGACTCAAGATGAGAAAATGATAGACCCATCACTCATGCTCTTCTCAAGATATGGAGTAGATCTAAAGCGAAGAGGGAACATTGTGCACTATTGATTTGGTCAGGATAGCAATGAATAAACCTCAATGAATGGTAGTTCTTACCAAATTGAAGGGGGTTTGAGTGTGGGTCAAAAACACAGATCACGTGCATTGATCAAGACATGCCCACTCACTTCTTCAGACCTATAAAGTCATGCCCAGGGACACAAGAAATACCAGACTGGGATAGAGGACCCAGGGAGGAGGGGAAATGAAGCTCCCTGTTCCCCAATTTGTACAGAAACATTACTGGCTGTTCTTCCCCAGCCAGGGAACATGCACCTGGCCAGTGCCTGCTGGAGTTGGAGAGACATTTCTCACCTGGCCCCAACCTGCTGCACTGAGAGAAGGCTGGAGTAGCCCTCTCTTCCTGGGACACCCTGTATACTGAAACCCTCATGATAAGCCCAGCCATTTTAATTAAAATATACAAACTGAGTTAAGGTCCCAAGGAATGTTGGGTAAATCTTCTAATAGTACATATTTGATGCAGTATCTATGAACTGCTTAAACAGAACAATGAAAGTTTTTAAACCATTTTATACAGTATCTGAAATCCCAGAACTGTGCAAGTCATTTTACATTAAATGAGTTTGGGACTTGGGGTGATGTACTTTTATTGTCTCTTCATTTACAGGGATGTCTCCTAAAGGATGACAAATATATATGCATATTTGGAGGATTTGGGATTTTTTTTATTTCAATTGCAACCAATATTTTATCCCAGGAGTCATTAATGAAGAGAAAAAACATTCATTAGTTGTGTTCTCTTTTATCTACAATAGCACCCGAGACAGTTCAAGTTGGCTGAGAAATTATATGGAAATCAATCAGTTTCTTCAGTTGCATCTAAAATTTCACTAGTTTCTCTCTTCTGTAATATAAAGCCTTGGATGCCTGATTTGATTTGTGAGAATATATCAGATTCCCCATTGTCAAAAATAACCAAAAGTAAAGAAAAACAGATGAACCAGAAAAAAAAATATTAAGGAAATACCAGAAAAGATGCATGCTCAAGTCCTTATTAAGAACAATAGCCAAGATGTATATAAAATCTTTTAGATAAGGATAATCAAGATGTATTTACTAACACTTTCAAATATAAAAAACACCTTTAATTCTAAACGAAGGTTAAATGTGCATGAACTTAAGTCAGTTCTACAAATTTCTATTGTATCTTTCATATCAGTGAATGAAAGAGGCTAATGACTTATGTCTGTAATATTAATAACCAGTACATTTGAGCTCCTGTCAGTGGAGGCAGAGTAGCACACTTTTAAAAACATCCACTTGCCCCTATGTGGCCATGCCTGGTGTGGGTCTGATCCAGCTTTCTGGAAAGGCAAGAGTCACCATCCCTCCAGACCCACCCCTCATCAACCCCACTTATCCTGACTGCCCCACACACAACCCAGCATCCCTGACATACATCCTATTCACTGCAGCTCCACCAGCTAGTTCCCTCACCCCAACATCCTACTCCTCCAATATCTCCCCATTCCTGCCACAGCACAACATCTGCCATTCATCCCCACTCATCCTGTAGCCTTCTCCCAACTGCCTCCCACCCATTTCATAACCTGCCGGCATCCTCCCAGCCACTGACCAGAGCCCTCCTAGCTCAGTGCTCTGCTCTCACCCTGAGCTCGGGAGGCTCTTCCCAATCCCAGCAGCTCTGCTTACTATCATCATCCACTCTATACCTGAGGCCAAATTTGAGTGATGAGAAGCTCTGCAACCCTGTGCACCACACTGTAACACTATCCACCCAAATCCAGTGACTGGGGCTCCACGTAAGCACACCGAGTGCACATGAGTTAATCCAGGCCTGTCCTAAAAGAATTCAAAGACAGGCTTTCAGGGGTGGCAAAGACACTGAAGGGGATTACATTTGGGAACTGTTTTCAGTGGGTCTGTAATTCATGTGATTTAAGAGAGGAGACTGAGATTTCTTTGCTAAGCTTGTGTTTTACTGGCATGTTGTCGCTGAAAAGTATAACAAGGAAACAAACTCCTACAGGTGTTTGTAGGGAGAGTAAACAAAGACTTATCTAACAACTAGAGGTTCAGGAGGGCTAACTCACTTGTCTGGAGTGTAAGAAACTAAATTGCAAGGTCCCATTGCTCAAGAATGGTGTCAGACATGAGATCTACACCTCGGGAGTATGCTTCAGAAATCTAGAACTAGAAGTAGTGATCAGCCACTATCCGGACCTGGGGTCTTAGAAGTACATGGAATTCATCACAGCAGACTTATCTATTCAGACAGAGACTAGATCAGGTTGTGACAATTAATATCTGGGCAAAAGGGTAATAGTATCAAAATATGAGGCTCCATATTAGTTCAGACATTTCAAGTACTATATGCATTAACAAGAATAAATTGGCTTTTAAGGATTAACAGATGTAATTGTTCTACAACTTTGTCTATGCACATACTTTTTTAAAAATCTACTGCTAAAATGATCAGAGATTCTACTGAAACAGAGAGGTCTATTTCTGCATAATGACCATATATGGGGTATGTAAGAGACTCCCAAAATGATCAAAGATCTTTTCAATATTAGATGGGTCCTATTAATGACATTAGCATTATCTTGTTTATGTAAACCAGACACCTAACTGAGGTCTCATTTCCTAGTTGTTAACGATCTATTTATTCTGAAATGCTAAAGAAAGTTACATCAAACTATTAAAGTTACAATAACAATACAAACTTAAAGTGTACCAATCTTGTAAACTGTTACATATCCATTACGGATTAATTTGATTAGCCACCAGTTTAAACAAGCTGATAATACCTCACAGTGTTGGCGAGAAGCTTGAATTTCGCATTCATATTTGTTCTTTACAGACTCTAAACAGAGCTCTCTATAGATACCTGTAACCAGACAAATTATAGCATTATTACTTATATAAAATAGGAGGAACTGATTTCAGAATTAACTGTTATGATCATTATTGCTAGTCCTAAGGTAATGTAAATGTGCAAAAACAATACTATTTTACATACTGACACAGTTCAGACAGTACACAGAGTATAAAAATGTGTATGGAAAAATAATTGGCTGAATTCAAGAGACTGCAGAAATAACTGTCTTCAATTTGTTCACTTCTGTATTTATGAAGACTAAAAGTTTAGCATGCTAGCAATATAAGTGGAAAAGAAACTAATTTACCCCATAAAATTCTGCCAGTGCAACACAAGATAGATTTACTATGTTACAGGTTGGCCACCTCTGGCTGAGATACTTCCTGTATTGGAGGAAGACCAATCCAAGCAGATTTTTATATATATTACACACACACACACACACACACACACACACACCTGTGCATATAGTGCCTAGCATAATGGGGCCCCAACCTAGGTGACGTCTAAGTGCTACTGAAGAATTATGTTTAATGGTAATAAATGGGAGATTTGTTACTGTATTATTGTTAAATTAACAGAAGATGGAAAAATGTATTCAGCCAACATCAGTAGTTCTTGAGTATTACTGTCTGTTTCTTGACAACATCTTAAAAGACCACCAGACAAGGGCCCCCAAACACAAACCGCTACAACTGCCAATCTTGTGATATTGGCCAATGATGAAATGAGCATAGAATGTTATGAAGGCCAAAAGTATAACTGGGTTAAAAATATTAGATAAATTCATGGTGGGATTGGATATAGTCCATCAATGGATACTAGCCAAAATGATCAGGGACATAACACCATGCTTGGGGTGTCCTTAAACCTCTGACTGCCAGAAGTGGAACTGGATGACAGAGAATGGATCACTCCACACACTTCTTTGTTCTGTTCATTTCCTCTGAAGCATCTGGCAAACAGTTGGAAGACAGGATACTGGGCTAACTGGACCAATGATCCGACCCAATATGGCCATTATTCTGTTCACCTATTTAACCTAGGAGGAAAAGTTTATTGCTTGAAAAGCATGAGAACTGAAGTGCTCTTCCATTTTTACTGGTGGTCCATCTTGTATCTCTTTTCTAAATTGGATAACTTGAACCTCATGAACCATCACTTGCCATTTAAAAAAATAGATATCTGAATTCTCAGTAAAAAGAAGTTACTCACCTCCATGTAGTAACGATGGTTCTTCAAGGTGTGTCCTCGTGGGTGCTCCATGTCTGGTGTCAGGCTGGTCCTGGCGCTGCGAATCAGAGCTTGCCAGAGCTGTATTCAGCCGGACTGCGCATGCACGAGCCGGTTTCGCGCCTTTTATGTGTCGCACGCGGACCGGCGCCCGCCAGTTTCCTCTCAACCGCCCGTCAGCAAGACAGAAAAAAACAGACGAGATTCCATAGCGGGGAGAAGGGCGGGTCGGGGAGCACCCACCTTGAAGAACCATCGTTACTGCACGGAGATGAGTAACTTCTTTTTCTTCTTCGGGTAGTCCCCGTGGGTGCTCCACGTCTGGTGACTCCGGAGCAGTGATCTGAGTTAGACGTGGGCTGCGGAATCACGATTTTGGTGGCTAGGGAGTACCGCTAGAGCCACAGCTGAATCAGAAGCTAGGTGCTGCACGATTGCATAGTGCCTTGAGAATGTGGTATTGGAAGACCAGGTGGTTGCCCGGCAGATGTCGCGTAGAGGGACTCCCCTAATGAACGCTGCAGACGTCGCCACTGCTCGCATAGAATGGGCCCTTGAGAGCGGCTTCTCGCGAATGGTGTAACACATGGTAATACAAGAGACAACGAGTTTGGAAATGCGCTGGGCAGAGAGGGTTTAGTCCTTGGAGCGCCCTGATGTCAAAATAATAAGGCGATCCGTTTTCCGGATATCGCGGGTTCTATCTATATAGAATGCCAGCGCCCGACAAATGTCCAGAGTATACAGGACAGCGTCTCACTGAGACACTGGAGGCTTCGGATAGAAGCATGGCAGAACGATTGGCTCGTTAATATGAAATTCTGTGCAGACCTTAGGTAGGAAAGCCGGATAAGATCTCAAGGTCACCGAGTCCTTACTGAAGACTGCATGGGGGGGAGGGGATGCCATTAGTGCTGCCAGCTCGCTGACCCTACGTGCTGATGTTATAGCAAAGAGGAAGCATAGGCCAGGGTACCGTCGCCAAGGGTTCAAAGGGAGGGTATGTCAAAGCATCCAAAATGTGGTCTAGGTTCCATGCGGGTGGTGGGGGCCTGCGAGGTGGGTTAAGGTTAGTGAGGCCTTTGAGAAATCTTGTCACCATGGGGTAAGAAAAGACCAACCTGCCTTCTACCGGGCCGTGAAAGGCCGCAATTGCTGCTACATGGACTCTGAGTGATGATATGGAGAGCCCGGCAACCTGTAACTGGAGGATATAGTCCAACAGGACATGCAGTGGTGAGAGAAGAGGGTTTAAGGCCCTTTGGGGCACACGAACGGGTGAACCTAGACCATTTGGACAGGTTTTCCTGGTAGAGTCTTTCTTGCTATGCAGCAATACACGTTTCACCTGGTCCAAGCAAAGACTCTCGGACATGCTGAACCATCTATCATCCATGCCGCTGGATGTAGAGTATCCAACTTCGGGTGAAGAAGGTCCCCATTCTGCTGCATCAGGAAGTCCGGTAGATGTGGGAAGCAGTATGGTGGTCACGTGGACAGCTGCAAGAGAGTTGAGTACCATGGCTGTCTGGGCCAGGCCGGAGCTATGAGCAAGACTCTCGCCTTGTCCATGAGGACCTTCTCGAGCACCCTGGGAATGAGCACAACATGGGAGAATGCATATAACAGTGATGTTCCCCAGTGCAGGAGAAAGGCATCTCCCAGAGAATGGGTGCCTGCTCCTGCTCTGGAACAGTATTCTGCGCATTTCCTGTTGGCCCGAGTGGCGAAGAGATCTATCATAGGATGGCCCCAGCGACAGAAGAGAGGCAGGAGGACGTCTGTACTGATCACCCACTCGTGATCGAGATGAAAGTATCTGCTCAATGCATCCATGATGGTGTTGTTCACACTGGGTAAGTATGATGCGACTATAATGATGTCGTTTTGAATGCACCACCTCCATAAGTAGACTGCCTCTGCGCAGAGGGACCGGGACCAGGAGCCTCTTTGTCTGTTCACATAATACATCGTGATGATGTCGGTGAGAATTCTGGTTGTCGTGCCTCTTATATGCATCCTGAATTGTCTGCAGGCATGGAACACCGCTCGCAACTAGAGAAGGTTGATATGCAACATCCGTTCCAATGCGGACCAGCAGCCCTGAGCTGTTTCCGTGCCGATGTAGGCACCCCATCCCACAAGAGAAGCGTCTGTGGTTATCTCCTTTGATGGCTGCACCGCATGGAAGGGGACTCCTGACAACATATTGCTGGGGTTGGCCCACCAATGGAGGGACTCCTTTACACGTGCAGGTAGAGCCACAAGTTTTCGGGTGCTGTGTGTGACGGGGTTGTACACCGTGTTCAACCAATGCTGCAGGCACCACAAATACAACCTTGCGTGGCGCACAATGATCGTAGTGGCCACCATATGACCTAGGAGCTGCAGATATACCCGTACCGGGAGAGCTGGAGCTTGTAGGACTGTGCCTATTAAGTCCTTTATGACTTGGAAGCGCTTGGCCGGAAGATGAACTCACTCAGAGAGAGTCGAGTCGGGCTCCTATGAAAGTTAGAGTTTGCGTCGGTTGCGGACGCAATTTTTGCATGTTTACAATGAGGCCAAGGGAATCTAATAGATCCCGTGTCGCGGCTACCATACAATGTGTCTCCGACTGCGTGTGACCCTTGATGAGGCAGTTGTCGAGATAGGGGAAAACTGAGACCCCTGTTTTGCGTAAATGGGCAGCCACCACTGCTAGTGTCTTTGAGAACACTCTCGGGGCCGAAACCAGGCCGAAAGGGAGCACTTTGTATTGGAAGTGCTTGTCTCTCACTACGAACCGAAGAAAACATCTGTACGCTATGTGCATCGTGATATGGAAGTATGCGTCCTGTAAATCTAGGACTGCAAACCAGTCCCCCTTGTTTAGTGCTGGTATGATCTTGGCCAGCGTGGTCATCTTGAAGCGCTGCTTTTGAATGTAGCGATTGAGGCCTCTCAGATCGAGGATAGGCCTCCACACCCCGGACTTCTTGGGGACTAGGAAATACCTGGAGTAGAAGCCTCTCCCCCGGAATTCTGCAGGTACTCGTTCTATGGCCCCGATCTGCAGAAGGTGGCAGGCCTCCTGTTGAAGAGCGGCCCTGGGAGATGGGTCCCTGAAAAGGGACGGGGTGTGTGGAGTAGTGGGGGGGACTGAGGTAAAGAGGATCGTGAGGCCTGATATTACTTCCAGGACCTATTGGTCCGAGGTAATGCTGGCCCATTGATGATGATATGGCCTCAGCCGATGGTAGAAGAGGCTAGTGGCAGGCTTTTGTGTGATGACCGTGGGAGACTTGTTCGAGTCCTTGACACAGGAGTCAAACCTGCTGCTTAGACGTAGGCCGAGCTGATGTTCGATTCTGTTGTTGGCGCTTGCGCTGCAGGCGCTGTCTGAATCTCGCCTGGTCAGGTCCACGCTGTTGCTGCTTGTAAGATGAATAATTGTACCTCTTTTGGAAGGGGTAGTATCGTTTGCACTTAAAAGGAGGAGAGTACATGCCCGGGGTTCGAAGGGTCGTACAAGAGTCCTTTCCAGAATGGAGAACCTCATCAGTAGTGGCGGCAAACAGCTTCTGTCGGTCGAACGGCAAATCTTCAACCTTGGACTGCATTTCTCTAGGGGCTCCTGCTGACAGTAGCCAGGTGGCTCTCCACATGGCAATACCTGTTGCCATGGCTCGTGCTGCCATGTCCGCTACATCAGCAGCGATTTGAAGCGATGTTCTACATGCGGTGTATCCCTCCTGGACAACGGCTCTTAAGAGGAGTCTCTTGGTGTCATGGAGGTGTTGCATCAAATCCGGAAGCTTAGAGTAATTATTGAAGTGGTGGTTTGACAGAAGAGCTGCGTAATTGGTGATTCAGAGAAGTAAGGTTACGGAAGAATAGATCTTTCGGCCAAATAAGTCCAGTTTTTTGGAGTCCTTGTCCGGAAGGAAGGTCTTAAAGTGGGGTGCCTTGGCTTTGTGGTGGACAGCATCCACTATCAAGGAATTAGGCTGTGGATGATTGAAAAGAAAGTCTAAGCCTTTGGAGGGGACGAAATATTTTTTGTCAGCTTTTTTATTTGTAGGCGGTATGGATGTTGGCGTCTGCCAGATCTCCTCCGCTACCTCCATGATAGCCTCGTCTATTGGGAAGGCAATTTTCCGTTGATGTTTAGGGTGTAGGTTTTTAAACAGCTTATGCTTTTTCACCTCAGCCTCCGTGAGCTGCACCTCCTGGGATTGTGCCACCCGTTTAAATAGGTCTTGGAATTCCTTGAGATAGTCGGGGGCTGGTGTCTCAGCCAAGGTCACCGCTTCTCCCGGCAAGAGCACAGACGAGCGAGCACTAGGAGACATGTCTGGTTCCGTCTCTGAGAGCTGCCCCTCCTCCAGGTTTGATGCTTTTTCACCTCAGCCTCCGTGAGCTGCACCTCCTGGGATTGTGCCACCCGTTTAAATAGGTCTTGGAATTCCTTGAGATAGTCGGGGGCTGGTGTCTCAGCCAAGGTCACCGCTTCTCCCGGCAAGAGCACAGACGAGCGAGCACTAGGAGACATGTCTGGTTCCGTCTCTGAGAGCTGCCCCTCCTCCAGGTTTGAGTGTTACGTGTATGTGGCTGGAGAGCATGGCAGTAGCGTAGGTCAGCGTGGAGATTTGTTCCGAGGTTCAGAATGCAAGGAACGTGGGCTGATTGACCAACAGGAGCATGGTGATCTGCGGCGAGATTGGGAGCGGTAATGATGGGGTGAACTATGGCACCGTGTTGGGGACCACGGGTCTAGAGGATCATGGGCTTTGATGTGTAACATAATAAGTGCTGCGCGGCGAGCGAGTTGGGGAATGGAATTGTCTTGACGGGGATCGAGATCTGGAGTATCTGTAATGAGAGCAGCTACGTTCCCTATAGCAGTGGTGAGATGATAAACTTGGTCTATGATGCTCCTTGCGCCCCACCGCATCATATGCAGATGTGGAGGGGTGAGGCGATGGCTCTGGAGAGAATCCGGGAGAGGGAGAGAGGGCAATTGTATGAGTGTCAGTTCTTGACACAGCATTAATAGAGGCTGCTGGCAGCTGCTCAGAGGTTGCAGGCTGCAAGGCTGGAGGTTCAGAGGGCTGCGCTGAAGCAATCATTTGAGTCCCGAGGACAGCTCCTTGTGAGCAGGAGAAAGCTCCGAAGTTCCAGAGGTCAGCACCGTCGGTGCAGGGGTGAGTGTCTCTTTAAGAAGCAATCCTGCTG